TATTACTACGCGCATTGTCTTATCACTCCATTAAATCCCAAATTAGAGCATGAAGATTCTGATTGTCAACTTGCAGCAAAACATGTATTCAAATTGTGTGGCCCCTAAAACATATCTTTGAATTATTTGTAGGATGGTCATGACTAGTAGAAATATGAGACAATTCACCTTAATATGTTTAGTAGATTATGCAACACCGAATTCTAAATCTTATCTCAAGTAAAATGACAATTCACCTTAATATTCTTGGTACGTTGTGGAACACTGAATTCTAATGTTGCTTCAATGTCGCAAAACAACTGGATGTGGTGTTTGTGCATGTCATGTGTTGTTTGTGCTTTAGTCCAAAAATTAGAAGGTTTTTGAATTCTTTGAGTCCACTTAAAACACACGCTATTCTGCTTATGCAATGAGGGACACACAATGTGTTACTTCTTCATTTTTCAATATGTGTGTGTGTGTGTGTGTGTGTGTGTATGTATGTATGTATGTACACACACACAAAAGTTTTCCAGATGGAAGAAAAAGCCATTAACAAAATATCTTGTGAGGACACCATTTGCCCAATCATCAGAATCACCAAAATCATAGACTTTGAGACAAAGGGTCTCTTTGACAATAACTTCATCGTTTAACTTTAGCGTTTTGAAAATATTATCCAACCGTACCATTTAGCTTTATTTTTTCAAAGTCAATGTGTACTATTAAAAAATAATTCAAAATACTAGTGTTGATCGATAACATTGTTACCAAACATGGCCAAATGTAGATGACAAGAAAATTTCATGTTAGGATCACTATAATTGTCCCTAACCAAAACAAATGGAACCTAAGTATATAGACCCAAATGGCCCCAAATATCCCTCAAATTGAAGTACACTCAATTAATATTCAACTCTAATAACCCATTTGCCAAGATTATTATAAGTACAAAAGGTCAAGGGTTATTTGAAACAAAAATGTTAGAAACTCAAAAGTTTAATGCTAAGTGTTTCATAGATATGCACATACAATGATTTTGTGTAGGTCAAAGACCATTAATATTTGTATATGTATATAAAATATTTGACGTTAAACCCTAGGAGTTTCTAGCATGACACTATTTAGAAAGTATGATCACTTATCATATATTGTGCATTCTCAATCACAAAACGACTTACAACCACAATCTATATAAATTTAAACTTTTTACTTATGAAAAGTGATCATGCTTCATATATTAATTTGAATATATTAATTTCATATGAATATCATAAATAGTTAAGGCTTAGTATTGACATATATAGCAAAGTTAAAAAATGTAACTATTCTACGTATATGTTAAAAATGAAACTATTTTGTACAAAACGAAAAAAATATGAAATTGTTGCAAATATTCTTGTTTTGTTTTATTTTGTTCATTCATGAAAGATAAGATCACTCATGATATAGAAAAGACATAAATAAAATGACCAAAAATTAATCCATATTTTTATAACATATTCATATTTTTGTTTATGGTGTTTGGCTATTACTATTTTCATTCAATGTATTTAAGTATTAGTGTGGAATTTAAAAAAAATAATATCTCGGTTATAACGACGCTGTCATATTATAGCCCCAGTCAAACTGAGACTCATATTGTGATTTGTTCGCAATTTGGTTTTTCCTGGGTAGGGTGATTAAGCCGGAAGTTAGAGAGTTAAGAATCATCTATTTTACAATAGAAGTTTCGTAGGAATCTAATGTCATAATATGACATCGATGGTTGGTGTCAATATAACCTTGTTCAAAGAACAAAAACTATACTCCTTCTGTCCGTGAAAGATTACCACAATTTGTCTTTTTTGGTAAAACTGTGACACCCTTTGGTCGTGAATTATGAAAAAACGTTTATTTAGTTATAATGTAAACTATATGTTCAATGTAGTTACATAATAGCGCAGTTACTAAACTCATATTTACCTTATTTGGCACATCTTATTTAACCAGTTGAGCTACGTCCACGGACAACGAATATAATATAGAATGTGTTGAGCAATAGAAAATAGATATTATAATAAGTTATCTTCCATATTTGTTGTGTTGTTATTATATTGTTACCATAGTTCTTTCCCCCCTTGTAATCCCTATATATAGGGATGTATCTTTCAATATTCAATAAAATCAATTTCTCAAATTGTATCATGGTATCGGAAAAATGTCTCTCAAACCCTAATTCTTTTTTCGACCGTGCTTCATTGCCGGTCAACCAATCGCTGGGCCGGTCTACTGCTGGTCTTCATGGCGTTGCTATTCGATCTTTTGGCTGCTTCACCTTCTAGAGTAAAACTTTTACTTCGCGGTCTCCATAAATTGATTCAAGAAAAACTCATATATATATATATATATATATATATATATATATATATGTTCATATGAGAATGCGATCTTATGAAAGAAATAAGAATGAATCCAGTGCTTTAGATTGTGAAATCTAAGGGTCAGGATTGCATCAAAATTAGGTGAACCAAAATGGTTTGAAAATGCATCTTGTCGAAATGCACCAAAATCCTTTGAAAATGCACTATCTCAAAATCTGAGTGCAGGATGCAATCTGAGCCGCACGATGCATCAGATCCAAAAGCTAGATTTTATTCTTATTTTTTTCACTAAGGTGCATTCTCACCTGAACCGGCCTATATATATATATATATATATATATATATATATATATATATATATATATATATTATCCGGCATGGTCTCTTAATGTCCAAACAACACGTTTGGCTAATCTTCTTCTTGGCTGGATCGATGGCTATGAAGCACCACCACAAAAAAACCATCTCCAAAGATGGCAAAAATCTTCTCAACCCCAAGTATACCTCATGGTCTATTGTTAACACTCAGATCCGTAGTGTCTCCTAGCAGACATCAGTCTAACTATTCACAAACATGTTCGGGGCTTCAACACCTCTGCTGCCCTCTAGGATGCTTTAGCAACACAATATAATTCTATGCCCACTGCTCACAATTGTCAGCTTCAAGATAAGTTGCACACTCTTCGTAAAGGTACAAAAACTATGACACAATACCTTGATGATATTTCGACTATCCTATCATATCTTGATGCCTTGAATGAAGAAATCCTTGAACGTGATGTGGTGAATGCTGTCATCTGAGGTCTCCATGTCGAATATTCCTCTAAATAGAATAACCAAATAATCAAAGAAAATATCTCCCTCAATCAACTTTCTAGATGGCTAGTCTTTGAAGAGGTTAATCTGGAGATGGAACAAAAATTGAGTTTGGCAAATTCCACTTCTAGAGGACATCACACAACACTTTTTTCTTCAAACGGCCGAGGCCGCGGTCAAGGGGGAGGACGCGGTCAACCGCCCTATGGTCGCATAAACAGTTCTACCCGCGACGGTTGAGGGGGAGGTCGTGGACCGTTGCATGACGTTCCAATCTGTCAAATCATGATAAGAGAGGTCACTCCGCTTCTGCATATTGATATCGCTTTGATGATTTTAATACCGAGAACACCTCAACCACCACATCCCGTGATATGCGTGCCACCACCAACAGTCAAACTGGAAATTGGCATCTTGATCCAAGTGCCAACACTCATGTCACGCATGATATTCTCAGTTGCAATCTCCTACTCCATATCATGGGACAGAAACTATCACTGTAGGTAATGGTCACACCTTTTCTATAACCACACTGGCTCTGGCTATATACATACTCCTCATGATAAATATTAAATCTCATCTCTAAATCATGTCCCCTCTCTTAATTCACCAATGTTCAAGTGACATTGAACCTTGGTGTCATGGGATGACCCGGGGGCATTCTGGTGCCCCGTTCGTAAAATTGACGGTTCTTACCCCCCCTAACCCCTCCGGTAAACCCCCCCACCCGGCCCCGACCCGAACACAACCTTTCACCCCCTTCAATTGCACCCCACAAGTTAATTTTGACTTTGGAGTCAAAATTTGACTCCAAAGTCAAAATCAACTTGTGAGGTGCAATTGAAGGGGGTGAAAGGTTGTGTTCGGGTCGGGGCCGGGTGGGGGGGTTTACCGGGTGGGTTAAAGGGGGTAGGAATCGTTAATTTTACGAACGGGGCACTGGAGCGCCCCGGGTCATCCCATGACATCAAGGTTCAATGTCATTTGAACCTTGCCCCTCTTAATTACCTCTAACTTACTATTTGTTCACCGGTTTACCAAAAATAATGATTGTACTCTTGTTTTTAATGTTAATAATTTTCATAAAGTGGACAACACCACGAATCAGGTGCGGTACTCGGACCCTCGTAAACATGGACTATACACCCTCCCTTCCAAGTCCAAATCTGTTACGTATCATGTTGTTCTTGCCTCTACTTGGCATCGCCGACTCGGTCATCCAACTCATGCTATAGCCAAATCTATCTTTTCTGCTTTAGGTTTTAATTTTTCTCAAACATTACATTGTGGGTCGTGTTATGAGCTTGTTTGGGAGTGATTAACTTCTAGATAAAGTAATTTTCACAAAAGCTGAAAGCAAAAGCATCTCATACTTGCTTCTCCAAAACGGTGTTCTGTGTATAAAATAGTGATGGTGAAAATCAGAAGCTGACATGCCAAACAAAATAAAATTACTTCTACTCAAAGCAGAAGCTAAATTACTAAAAGCAGCGCACTGCTAAACACCCTCTATGTATCTAAGTCTTGTCGTTTACCTTTTCAATAGTCTGGACACAAAGCCAATGTACCTTTTCAGTTAATACATTTTGATGTTTGAGGGCTAATCTCTACTTCTTTTCATAGTGATTTTTGTTTTTATATCTCTTTTATTAATGCTTTTATCAAATTTACATGGTTTTATCTGCTTAAACATAAGTCTGAAGTTTACTCGGTCTTTGTCAATTTACCCAATTTAATATGCAAATACAAAATTTTGGAAGTGAATTCTACATCATACCTCTTGTCCTTACACTCCCAAGTAGCAAATTGTATCATTGAGTGCTCCATATATTTTTCGATAAAATAACACACAATTCAATGTAACTTTTTGAAGAGTGTTGATGTGTCATTATTTTTGCATTTAATTTTGACGTGCTCTCGTTTTTTCTATTCAATATAAAATGAGGGGACCAAACAAAATTGGCTGCTTCTTAAAATACAAAAAACGAAAAACAAAAATGGCTGCACTGATTTGTTTAAAGTTTTGCTCGTATTATGCAAATTTGCCGAGGAGGTAGACTTTAGACCATTATGTATACATGCACATCATCATCATACATAAAATACGTAACTTTCTCTCTCTCTCTCTCTATAGAACGGAATAAAAGAATCAGGGCCGAAGCAGCTGTTTGTTGAGGGAAGTACTTCCATAAACCACTACCAGAATCCACCAATTCCTGTGATGAAATTTGTTACAAAACCCTAAAGTTTCTATCTTTTTTTTAAATTTTTAATATTACTCTTCTTGGTCCTTGCAAATCCACACTCTCTCATCACCCCCCTATTTTTATTTCATTTCTGGCAAATTTTCCTGATTTGGTTTTGTATTTAAAGTCTTTATTATTCATATACTCCTTTAGGTGAGTGGATCAAGTGATTATTTCAAGATTACCTAAATCCGGAAGAGCCTTACCAAATTGCTTTCCGATATATTTATATGGTTAGGAGATAAAGATAGAGTCTTTTTGAGGATTTGAGCGGTGGGTCTGTTTTGATTTCATCTCTTTCTCAATCCCTTAAATAAAATTCTGAATCTTTGTGTGTGTGTCTGTGCTTCTGATTCGATGGCTGCTGGTTCTGAGGTGTTTGTTGAGCCATCAGTGGTTGAGGCACCCGTTCTTGAGAACTCTTCTTCATCACCAAAGTCCGATGCTGCTGCTTCCACCGTAGTCTCTGATGCTGGCTCTGACGTCAGCACCAATGTGAAATCTGAATCTCTGGGAAATGGTGATAAGGACTCTGGTTCAGATTCAAACCCGAAATCTGAGTATCAAATGCAGCAGGAAATTGTTGATATGTTCAAGACGCTGAAGCTGAACCCTCTGGCAAAAGAGTTTTTCCCTTCTTCCTATGGCCGAGATGAGGGGCTCAACAAGAATCTGGTATCTGATGGCTTCCGAAATAACAGAAGGGTATAATAACTCCTTTTTTTGTTTGCTTTGATCAATTTATTGTTTTGCTGAATTTTTTTTGCTTTGATCAATTTTTTTTGTTTGCTTTGATCAATTTATTGTTTTGTGTGTTGCTGAAATTTTGACAACTGTTTCTTTTTGCAGTAGATTTTTTGCGTTACAAATTGCTACTATGGTATTTTGTCTATATACATCTCCATTCCTAAGTTTGATATCTTCTATTCGATTCACTATAATTTGGGCTGACTTTATCTATACTTGTGATGATTTGGTGAATCCTGTAAGCCTTGTGTTTTTCTTTTGCATTTGTGTGCCCTTGTCAAAAAAGTTCCATTTAATATAAAGTTATGAACTGTTGTTTGCCTTGTGGCCTTGTGTGTCTATCTAAGAAAATTTATTATTATTGCATATGATTGTTTTGATTGTGCTGCATTGGAAGCAAGACCCATTTGAGTTCAATTATTGTTATTGCAGCAAATAGAAATCAACTTCTGTTTCACTCCATAATGGTTAAAAAACATAACATCTATTGGTTAAAAGTTGGCTTTGGTTACTCCATTTGTGGAAATTAACTTTACTTGTTTATAGGCTACAAATATATCAATAAGAAAAACTTACATGTAAAAAATGGCCGAGTTTGGGGTGGGGCCAGATCCCCCCAATCAGTCCCCGAGTATTCATAAGCCGATTCATCGGGGTATTTTGTGAATTTCATTGAGGTTTAGATCGGGTTACTTACATATGCTAGAGAAATCCATTGTAGGGCGTGTGTATTTGGGGGGCATGTGATTTATCTGTTTGTGTTTTCATTACTCTTAATTCATCTCGTAATCTTTATTTGTCATCTATCTCTGATTGTTCTAACAGGTTTCTGTTTGTTTCTTGAGTTGGAGCTCTTACGGAAACACACCTCTACCATTTTGGTAGAGGTAAGGTTTGCATAAATCATCCAACCCCAGTCCCAAGCTCTGGGATTTCACTGGGTTGTTGTGTTTGTGAGAAGCTTTTCAAAGAATTATTCTTTTTCTTTTTAATTTGCTCAAACATCGTTGATATCGATTAGCCACATATAGTTGTTTTTTCATGTAAAAGCATTCATATCTTCTTCTCTGTGAAATGTTTTCTTTTCTATATCCAGCATGTAACTAATTTCGTTTGGTAATAAATTTATTCCATTTACTAATCATTAGTGACGTTTCGTTAGTTGTCACGATGTATATAGGTAGGAGTTTATAGCAGGTTGCTCAATTACGATCACGTGACTTTTGTAGTCAACTAAACGTTTTATGTACGGAAAAATTCATCTCGATTTTATTGTAGTAAATAACTCTTTTTATTCCCAGAGAGGAAACAACTATAATCAGGGAAGAAGCAACCGAACAAACAATAGAGCTTCCAGAGCTCAAAGGGAAGATAGCATTCGGCGTACTGTCTATGTTTCTGACATTGATCACAATGTAAGTAGAGATTAGGTTCCGATATAGTTTTATGTTGCTTTCATTGTTTGTGCTAATGTTTTCTCATTTGTTTTACTTTTATATACAGGTCACAGAAGAGCAGCTGGCTGCCTTATTTAGTGCCTATGGACAAGTATGTAAATCACCTCATATGATACCCTATTGGGCCCCGAAGTGGGTCCTACCCCCTTAACCTCCCCCACACAAACCCCTCTGCACCCCAGCCCCCAGCCCGGATCGCCGGAATTTAGCATATCACCCATTCCTTTAGCATGGATTTGCTTGCTTACTTGACTTTCCTTTAGCGTGGATTTGCTTGCTTACTTGACTTTAGCATGGATTTACCTTGATTGAGAAATTGCTGAACAACNGGGATATGTACGCAGTCTTAACCTTGCAAAATCAGAGAGACTGTTTCTGTTACGTTTAGACCCTAGATGCATTGCTGCATTTATTGCCCAAAACTTCATTGAAAGTAAGAAGGGAGGTTTAATTAAGTCTATTATGTGCGCGAAACTAAATCATTGTTAATAATGAATCTCATATCTCCATTGGCAAAGTAAACAGTAATGAAAATGGGTGTGGTTTAAGCCTACTTAAAGTGCATTGCCACATAAGCCATTTATGGAGTATGTTCTTTATTTCTTTATTCTAATTGATTCTGCAAAGGGTCTGTTTGGATCTCAGAATAAGATATGGAAATGAAAAAGTGCTATAAGTTATGATTGATGTTTTAAAGAAGTTTACACGTGTTCAGGTTTTTAGTTTTTCTATAATAGGTATTGATCAATAAGATGAGTTTGAACAAATATTAGAAACAAATTTATTGAGTTCGATCTAAAGCTTTATTCTCCCCCACGTTTTCTTTCCCTCCTAACATGTCTACTATATTCCCCTCCATATTTTGTTTCCTTAGCAATTTCTGAGTTTCAAGCATACCTGTACCGTATGTCTGAATCCCAAAAAATGCTAAGAGAAAAATGCCAGGGGAAGTTATTATTTTCTCGTGTTCATTTTTTTATGGAAAATTGAATACGAGTAGTGTTTTTGATATTTTTACATTTGTGTAGATTTCTAAGTCTATATTTTAGAAATAGAAAAACGATTTCAGTTTGATCAAATTCTTTGGGTTTGAACGAAGGTTTTATTTTCCTTCGCATTTCATTCTTTCTTAGTTCTCCCTATACATCCCCTCCTATTTTCTTTCCATGTCAGTTTCCGGGTTCCAAACAGACCCTTAGAAGATGGAGCACCTTATACTCTTTTTTTGACTGTCCCCTTTCCTCTTACAGGTTGTCGACTGCCGAGTTTGTGGTGATCCACACTCTAATCTCCGCTTTGCTTTTGTGGAGTTTGCCGATGAATGTAAATATGTTTCATGTTCTTGCCTAAATTTATGTGCCGTGCCATTGAGATATTCTAACCTTATTTGATGATTGGAATAAATTTCAACAGACTCTGCCAGAACTTCTCTTTGCCTTTCTGGTACAATAATTGGGTTTTCCCAGCTCAAAGTCCTGCCTTCCAAAACGGCTATCCTTCCTGTCAATCCTACATTCCTTCCCAGGGTATGAACATGGGTTACCCGTGGTTTCTTTAAAATGGGTTTTCATGGTAATTATTACCTCTGCATTTTCTTGATTTTTTTTTGCCTGTACTTATTCAGTCAGAGGATGAACGGGAGATGTGTGCTAGGACAGTCTACTGTACAAATATAGATAAGAAGGTACAGATTTTTTTGTATATTTCTATGGCAGAATTTTCAGAAGTTTTCTTCTATGTCTTATAAGACTTAGGCTCCGTTCGGTAGCCAGTTCTTGATTGTTTAGGTTATCAGCATAACAAGCAGCTTCTGAATTTAACTTATTTGGCTGGAATGGTTGTCACCAAATGTTTTTTCCCCGTTTTAGAAAAATTCAAATATCCATTTCAGTCTAATAAACGTTTCGTAACAGATTTAGCACGTGTGTATAATTTCTAGTAATAAGATGCGCATTAAATGTGTAGGTGTCACAAGCTGATGTCAAGACTTTTTTTGAGACAAGATGTGGCGAGGTCAGTTAAACTAAATAACAATAATGAAAACAACATCGTACGGGCATGCGATTTTATTATTATGCCAAACTAAACACACATTGTCGTTTCTAGGTTTCTCGCCTGAGGCTTTTGGGAGATCAAGTGCATTCGACCCGTATTGCTTTTGTTGAATTTGTCATGGTAATTAATATGTTGTGAGCTTGACGAGGACATTTATTTTCCATATGTGCATAGTATAGCTTTAAAGGGAATATGGGTCATCAAAACTTGTGCAGGCTGAGAGTGCAATTATGGCATTGGACCGTTGCGGTGAGGTGTTGGGGTCCCAGCGTATCAGGTAAAAACCGGTTTAACCACGACGTATAACTGTCACAATCATCAAACATGTGAGTAAAAAATGTTGTTGTAAATGCGTAGGGTGAGTCCTTCAAAGACACCGGTGAGACCTAGAGTTGCTCGGGCCGGGATGCATTAAGGGGCAGTGCCCTCCAGGGATCTTGGAAGCATTTTGCAGAAAAGACCCTTTGGAAGAGACAAAGACAGATTTCCCCCAAGTTACTGTGAAAGTGAAGGCAAAAACTTGTTTTTCGTTTGTTTATGGTAACAACTTCATCTCTTTATTTCTTCTTTTACAGACTGAAGTGAGTGACCATTATTATTACCAACTGAAGTTTTACATTTACTAATTGCTGTGCTGTTAAAATGGATTGGCAACCAGCAATTATTTCATGTTTTTCGGGTTCACTCCCTAAACTTTCCATTAAATATTATTTTTCACCATGCTGAAGTATTATGGTTCTTCATGGCAAAGCTATTGAAGAAGGGAATATATATATTCCGTAGTGTGTGTGTGTACACACACATATACGGAGTATATATGTTTGCTTTATGACGGAGTGCCCAATGCTCATACACACGCGAGCATCTCTGACTCCACTAGATGCTTATCAATCTTTATTACAATTTTGTTGTTGTTGTTGTTGTTGTTCTTGTTATTATTATTATTATTATTTTTATTATTATTACTATTATTATTTTTATTTTTATTGTTGTTGTTTTTGTTGTTATTCTTGTTGTCGTCATTTTTCTTCTTATTATTATTAGTATTATTACTATTTGTTTTTTTAATAAACAATGTGAGTTATTAGTTTCATCATATTTATGGTCAACTTTTGCAAATAGTATTTCTAAAAACAAAAAAATACCACGAGCAAATTAAATCAAAATTTTCTTGTCAAATACTGCGTTTGAATATAAATATTCATTGAGAGGTGAAAATTATAGTGAGATCGAACTCCTTAGTCACACTATAAAGGTTTGGGAGTACATCATTGAGTATAGGTTACGGACGGGGGTGTGTTTTCGAGAACTAGTTTGGTTTCATGTTTGGACGATCAACCACAGAGACAATCAACTTCGTATGGAGGTTGATAGAAGAGTATAGGGTAAGAAGAAGGATCTTAACATGGTGTTTATTTACCTTTAAAAGTGTACTATAAGGTTTTGGGGAAGGTCATGTGGAGGTGTCTTGAGTCAAGAAGGGTTCCAATTGCATACATTCGTGTAGGTCCAAGATATGTATGGCGGGACAAAGATCGGGCAAGGGCTGTCAGAGGTGACTCCGAGCCGTTCTCGGTGGAAGTGTGGATACACAAGGGTTCTTCCCTAAGCCATTTCTTGTTTGCTTGGTGATTGACATCATGATGCAGGGAGTTCAAAGTGAGGTTTAATGGTGCATGTTTTTTGCTTATGATATTGTGCTTATCGACGATATCCGCGAGGGACTAAACAACAAGTTAGAAGTGCCTTTCCATGGAACCCAATGAACTTAGACTGAGTAGGACCAAGATTGAATATATGGAGTCTCTTTTTAGTGGCTGGGAGACGGAAGCACGGGTGGAGGTTAGAATTGATACTCACCTAGTGCACAAGGTAGATAAGTTTCGTTATTGTGACTCGGTCATTCAAGCAGATGGCGAGTTAAACCGGGATATTGCGCATCGAGTTGGAGCGGCTTGGGCTAAGTGAGTGTTGGTGTCTGGGGTTTTGTGTGGTAAGAAGATTTCGACTAGGATGAAAGGTAAGTTGTATCGATCTATAGTCACACCAGCTAGCATGTACGATGAGGAGTGCTGGGCAGTAAAGAAAACTCGAGTGCGCCAATTGCATGTTGCAGAAATGCCGATGCTGCATTGGATGGCAGAAGAGAATGGATAGGATTTGAAACGAGATTTTATCCAAGGATGGCTGTGGCCCCTATGGAAGATACGTTGCGGGGAGGTAGGTTGATTTGGTTGGGCATGTGAGGAGACAGAGTGTTGACGCATTTGTGCGAAGATGCAAAAGGCTTTGATTGGTGTGCGAGAGTATGAGAATAGGTAAACCTAGGAAAAATTAGAAGGAATCGATCAAGTTGACATGACTTAGAATCTCTTGCCCTTACAAAGAATATGACTTTAGATAAAAGCGTTTGAAGATCTACGATTAGAGTTGTTGGGTAAAAGCGTTGAGTAAGGAGGTAGTTTTTGTACTTGTTGTCTGCTTGTTATGTTGGGTGTTATTTACTTATCGTGTTTTACTTTTGTTAACTTTAGTTTGTTCTTTATCTCGGTGTGTAGTCTGCTTTGTGCTTTTTCTTAGGGGTGAGCAAGTACCGAACCAATACTGAAATTTTTCGAAAAAATTGAGAATACCAAACTGAAAAATACCGAACCGAAAAAGTACCGAGAAGGAACCGAACCGAATGGTTGGTACAGTATTTGAGGACGATACGAGGTGACGTCCCATACCGAAAATCCCGTACCGAACAACTAAAATATTATAAAAAATAATACGCCGGAGTAATATTTTTATATTCCTTCACTAAATAATATTTTTTTAAAAAAATCGATTCAGGTTCTATGATGTGTAAATTATACTTTTATTTAACTTTTAATTTTTGTGTATGAACATAAAAGTATTCACAAAGATTCTAAATACTCCTTTATTGTCATTCATTTTTTTAGTTTGTGAAATATAAACTAAGTTTTGATACGCATATCTTGCATTTAAATATTCATTTTTTAATTTTTCATGTTTTTTTTATTTAAATTCCCTTTTAATTTTCAAAAATAAGGGGGTATTGTTAAATTTTAACGTGTAAAGTAGTTATATATATTCATCTCGATTTGTACCGAAACTAATACTGAATCAACTCGAACCATACCGAACTGATATTTTGGGATCGTGATCGGTACGGAGTAAAATCTCATACCGAACCGAAATATTTGGTACAGTATCGGTACGAGCTAAATACTGTGTCATGCTCACCCCTACTTTTTCTACTTAATATATTTTTATGATCTTGTATTATCTGTGTTGCTTGAGTCGGAAGTCTCTTGTAATCAGCCACTCTACTTTCAAGTAGAGGAATGTCTACATGCACACACATCCTCCCACATTCTCCACCCCTCCCCTCTTCCCCCATACCTATCTCTCGTGGGATCCAAGGGAGTTGTGTATTTAAAATTATCTGAATTTCAAGAAATGATTAAAATAGCAACAATAAAATCACAAGTTGACTTGTTATTTATAGAAGCGGAAAGCGTGGCTCTTTAGCAAACTAATTTTTTAAAATTGTCAATAGCTTTTTTTTAATTAAATATGTAGTACTCCGTATTCTAAAAATAGATAGTTAATTATGTACTCCGTACGTCATAAAAAAACTATATATTCATTTTTTATTTATATAAACTTAAATCATACGAGTTCAATTTTATGTTCTTGTTACTATGTTAGATCTTTCTTTAATCATTTGTTGAAAAAAAATAATCACCTCATTTTTTATTTTGTAAATTTATGATTTCTGTTTTAAATATAAAAAATTTTATATTTCAATCTAAAATGAATATTTATATAAATTAAATTAGAAATAAGATAACAAACCGAAATATGAAGTTTCAAAAAAAAAAGGATAGCCTTGTAGTTATGGTCAATTTTTCACCACACCACTTTGTGAGTTTGTAGGCTAGACATAGGAAGATGTACAAAAAAAAATAAAGAAATTAATCAACTTTTAAGGGCATCAACGCCAAGGTTGATTCCAATTTTCAATTGACTGTCTTTTAATAATTAATTCAATAAAGTCATTTAAAAAAAATAAAGTGTGTTCTTGAAGAAAAAAAGTTAAAAAGTCGACGGCCTACCAACGTCGAATCTACCCTGAATATGTCTCCCCAATTATTTTTAGACTAAATATTTATTTAGAATTATTACTCATTTATTATTTAGATTTATTAATACAATCATCATGTTAATTAATTAGTCGTTGTTCATATTAGTGAGTTTTGTTCACACGTGGTTGATCAAGTCTTGAAGGCTAGTCAAAAGTAGGTAGTAGCTCCAAAGTCCAAAGAAACAAACAAAAAAGAGTTTTTTGTCATGCCATTAACTCATTAAGGTACACCATGGAAATCCTTTTAAAATTTTAGTGGATGGAGAACAACGTACAGAATATCGGGTAAAATTAACCACTTGCATATAAAGTCAGAATCTATTTTTTGATCCAAAACTTAAACTCATACGTAGGGTTTCACTTTTCTATATATGATAATTACCACTTGAGGAAGAGTGTTGAAAATTCTTATATACCGATTATTTTGTTCTCACATTTCTAATGTGAAATACTTTCTGAAACTCCTCATCAAGTGGACTACTAGACCATTTTGAATCTAATTAGTTAAACAAATGGGTAATCGGGTTAAACATGTCACATGCCGTTGGATATACATTCCACATGAAGAACTGGACTAAAGATTAGAACCGCTAGGAATGAATGCCTAGACATACACCTTAACAAATGAGGTAAACGAAAACTGGATCTGATGTCATGATAGAGTTTAGAATGAGGTATAGATAAAAGATTTAGACACTTGGACTAAACCACATTAAAAGATTGAATCCAATCGATTACTTAATTCAACTCAAGAGCTTATATACCAATTATTTTTTTCACTTCTTCAGTGTGGGATAGATACTCTTTAACACTTCCTCTCAAGTGGTAACTAGCCTCACCTAGTTAGCACTTGGACACACTAGACTAGCATCTCAATTTCTTATAGCTAGTCCACACAACGGGCGGTGGCATCTTGATCTCTTATAGCCAACTCAACCCAAATCACGGACGGGTAGCTTATTATTTTGCTAAACCCACGTCCAAACAACGAGAAAGAATCGAACTTGGATCGGACCTGCTCCGATACCATACTAGAATTAAGAATAGGGTAGGGAACACTGGATTGGGCTCTAAGATATTTGAGTTGAACCACATTAAAAGAATGAATTCAATTGATTACTTAGTTCAACTCATGAGCTTATATATCGATTATTTTGTTCTCACATTTCTAACGTTGGATACTCTCCAGTGAACGTTGAGTGTTTATATATATATATATATATATATATATATATATATATATATATATATATATATATATATATATATATATATATGGGATTGACTTCAGTGAGATGAAACCTTATGGTAAGATGACATACTTCAATCAGATGACACAACACACAACACTGCTATTGGAAAGCTCACCAACTGTCAATGCAAAGCTCATCACTTTTTTAAATAAAAAAAAAGTTAAAAAAATAGCACCACCACTCAACCACCAGTCAACCACCGCTCAACCACCGGTCCATGGCAACAGTGGGGGGTCATCGGTGGTGGCCATTGGTCATGGGCGGTCAAAGTGCAAAGCTCACCAACTGTCAATGCAAAACTCACCAACTGTCA